CTACTTCCATATATCATATAATTTATTTGTAATATATTCACCTCCTATTTCTCCTCTAATAATACCTAAAATAAATTAAATATAATTTACCTTTTTCTATAACATTACCATCTAATATTGGTGTAATTGTTGTATGAGATGCTCCACAATCAACTACTAATACATTGTCCTTTCCTACTATATATTATGCTAACATTGTATTTCTATGGAAAAATACTGAAGAAACATCAATTTCTTCAAATAGCATTTCAATGATTTTATTTCTGGTTTCTTTTTTCACATTTCCATTTTCAACAAAGAAAAAAGGAAAATGTCTTTCTTAAATTAAAACATTATTTAAAATGTGTTCTACATATTCTTTCCAAATATCAAAATCAACTATTTATCCTCCTTAAAGTATATTCTTAACATCAAATCCAATTGGTTGATATGTACTATTCTATTCAATGAATTTCATATTTCCCTCGCTATCCATTAATAAATCAGATGGTAAAACAACTTCTGGTCCATCAGTTCCTGCATATCCCACTCTTGTATTTTATTATCCAAATTCAAAAATAACAGGGATTTTATAACCTTTATTCTTTTTATATGGTATGAACATTAAATTTAATAAAACAAAAAATTATGTATTCTTTAAATAAATCACAAAAATTTCAATATTTAATTTCAGTTTTCTTTTTTTTTAATAAATCACTTAGTTATACTATCTTAAATTAATTGTACCCTGAAATATTATAAATTAAAAGTTTTCATATTTTATTAATAACAATATTTAATATTTTAAAGGTAGATTATTTAAATATATAACTAATTATCTTATATTTTTTGAATTCGAAGTGTTTCATTTTAATATATTTCTTAAAGTATTTTATAATTAAATTACATATTTTTAATAATAAAGAAATCAAATCAATAATTGTAAAATGTGCTATTATCTTCACCAAATTAAGCAGTCTTATTTTTTTAATACAACAATTATTATTTCATTTATTTATTTTTATTTGGCAACTATTCCTCCAATCTTTCAGGCATATCTTGACTTAATGCTCCTAAAAGAGCACATAAAATTAGCTATAATATTTGAATAGAATTTACTTTAAATATGAAAGACACATAAAGTAAGATTAATGCTAATCTATTAGGACCTTTCTCTATGGCATAATATTTATCAGTTTCAGTAGCTTCACTGCCCCAAAATCCTCTTGAATATTTAATTGCCCATACTAAATCACATAATAATGATATTCCAACAGCTATAGAATAATAAATTACACGTTATTTGTAGAGTCTATTGAATTCAAATTCAATAATGAAGAAAAAACATATAACCAACTATATAGGGTTTAGATATAAATATTTACATCTAGAAATTGAGATTTGCCAAAACAAATGAATACACTAAGTCCCATTACAACTAATATACTTAATCGAGTATATAATTTGTAATCGTACTATGAATTAGCATTATTTATTGGTGTCATCACTAAAGTATTAGGAGGTTAATGATTTATTGCCAGATCTTCTTTATCTATACTCCTAATTAATTAAACATAATTTGGAAAGGGTTCATATAGAGTGGCTAGATCTTTTTCAAAATCAATTAAATCATCTTAAGCAGTCTTTATTTATTCATTCCAAACTTCAATTTATTAACTTAATGATTTTGACTCATTAAATATCCATTATGATCTCAATTTAATTTTGGTTTAAGTTTATTATCCATTTTTATCAAATAATTAACAGCAATCTTCAATTTTAGTTTAATTGGTTAAATGTGCTAATGATAAAGTCACAGTTCCTAATAATTATGGTATATTTGGATGATTAATAGTGTAAAAAAATAATTATAATTCTTCTAATCCAGTTGAAATTTTACTAACAAAATAAAAAAAATAATATACAAATTAATTGTTTTATTCCATTAAGGAGATGGTCCATTTTGCTATTAAATTTCTTATTTTTAATTTTCCAATTTTAATATTACAGATACATTTTAAGCTGGGAAATTGATACCTTCTAATAATTCAACTGTCAAATAACTATCCTCTTTAATTCCATATTAATTAACTCTTTCACTATCTTTTATTGACTTAATTCTTTATTTACAATAAATACATCAAATTAGTTTGATACATATTTTCTTTATTTATTATAATCTAAAATCTGTTTCTTACAACCTTCAATTTTATTTTTTAAGATTTCTTCTGCTTAGAGAAACACTTTAATAAATTCATCCACTGTAATTTTATTATTAAAACTTTTGTTCATTCTTTAATATAATTGATCTCCTAATTCTCTATCAAATTGTCTTCTTAACTAAATTTTGTATCAGATAATACTTTCTTATCTAAGCATCTATAAAATTATTCAATAGATAACAATTCGTCATGATTTATTTCAATTTCCAGAAACTCTTTTCTCAGTACATTTGCCTTTTCAATTGCATTAACCGAAGTTGGCATTTTTATATATATATTTGAATATAATTAATATTGAAATTAAACAAATGATTATATCAAAAGAAAAATGAAAAGAGCATTCAATTATTGCAATTCTTAAGGAACTGTTTAATATGAAATCTGATTAATTGAAGTCCTTTATTAATATGAATTCCTTATCAAATTCTTCCTTTTATTAGAATCTATATTAAAAACATAAAATAACATTAAGGAACAATCGTATTAGTCTCATTCAAAATAATTGGTAATATTATAAAAATCTCCTTTAATTTAACAATCTTTGAAGAATTAAATCAACTCATTAGTAGATCTAATAAGCGCTATTACACATTAAAAATTATCCAAAATAATATTTTTTTAATATAAAATAGATTCAATTCAAGTACTACAAAATGTTCAAAACTCTTACATTGAAATAAAATTTAGTATAATATAGAATTGTGTGATACAATTATAGATAATATTTGCTTAATAGATTTTGAAAACCTACTTATCTTTTTTAGATTAATTATATAATAAATATATTATTCAGCTATATAGTTCTTATGTGTAGAAAATCACCCATTAATAGTTTAAGGAGACTAAAAAAACATTTAGGTATTTATGATGTAAATATTAGGAATATTATAGTCTGATTAGAATAAGAATATTCATTCATAATATGTAGTTTTAATTCAGTTATGATTCAATAATGACTGACTATCTTGAATCATGAACTAATTTATATACTTTATTAAAAAACTAATAAATACAGAAATGAATCTTTTTCGAGAAGCTATTAATAAATAATAATCATTTGTTATTTTATATTAATAGAATGATTATGCAATTCAGATTAATTATTAAATTATCGATTACACTTAATAAAGAAAACTATTATTTTTGATAATTAATTAATGAAAGAAAAATTGAGGATTCTCAGTTGAATATAATTGATATTTGTTAAAATCTTAGTGTTCTTTACTTCTGGTAAAATTCTCATGCGACTAATAACTTAAACCTTATCTAAATTTTATCGTTCTCTTTATCACAAAAGTTTACTGGAGATAGAGATTTGTAGTTTAATTATACTATTATATATAGTTTTACATTAATTTTGATTTGGCAATTGTGTATTACTATATGCATTGATTGATTGATAAATATGATATCAAATATTTAGATATTAATTCTTGTTTTCTGGTTTAAAAATATAATTTTAAAAATTTGTTATTTTAGAATATATGGAAAGTAGAAATTTAACTCAATTTCAGCATTATTCTCATAATGGGACTAATCGATATTCTATCTAGAGAATTGTTTACCCTCAATATGCAAGTGGTCTTGTATAAGAAGAAACAGTATCTCAACATAAAGATTCAACTGATGAGGATTAATTTATAGAAGGTGAATGTTTTGTTTATATTGGGGGTTAATAAATATTTACTATTGAACTTAAATAACCAGATTTTGTGCATTAATAATTATGCATTGATTTAACAAAATATTAATGTCCTTTGGAATGCTTAACTGCCTTCCCTTTACCTTATTAATTTCAGAATCCTTAAAGAATATTACCTTTAAGCACAGGAATTTTAGTTGTTAGTAGTGGTAAAAATGGTTAAAAAATCAATTTATTTGATGATCACTCAAAAGAGATAAATATAAATATATAAATCACTAAGAGAATAATTTGGATGAATTCAAGATACTTATAAGAAATTATAATTTTAATAGTAGGATTTAATGACTTGAGCGTTGGACTTTTTGAGATTGATTTCAAAAATAAATCAATTAGATTACTACAAGAATTCATTTTTGAACAACTTATCATATTTAATGATATTTCAACTCATAATTCACTTTATTATATAGCATTGACATCTTACAATGGAATTATATCAATACTATCTATTGATCTCTTTTTTTAAATTTAACATCATGTTCATAATATTAATAGAATAACTTCACCTCCTAAATTATATTTTTAACATAATAAGCCCAACTTAATGGTTCCAATCTAAAATGGAGAAATGTTATAATATTTTGAAATAGGAACTAATGGATTAAAGAAATGGAATGTAATAAAGTATCAAAATAATAATAAATCTATGATTACTGCATTTGATATAGAGCCTAAAAAATGTGATATATCTTAGAATTAGAGCGAAGAGTTTGAGATTTGCATGATGCATTTTGATGGAACCCTTAGTTTTTATGATTATGCTGATAACAGTATTTATATAGAAATATCAAAACAATTGAATGGCTCCAGATTTTTTATGTCTAATATGCAACTTTCATTCAAGCAATTTATATTAATTGGATCTGATGATGAAGTTGAAATATATCAAATGTCCTTTTATCACATAAATTGATAATTAATTTTTGTGTTATCATTTTAAAAATTATAATGATTCATGTTTTATCAATTCACATGATTGTTGATAATACGTCAATCTCCTCATTTTAAAGTAAATATTCTACTCCTTTAGATCTTTTTATATTATTTTTATAAATTAATTTAATAAATTCTGAAGACAAATAAAGATTTGTTTATCATTTTTCTGTAAGCTCTCTAAAACCTTTCCAATCTTTTGGAGCTTTTCCACCACAAGAATGAATAACCTCTAAAAGAGTATTTGATGGTCCATCCTTATGTTCAGGTATCATAATCTAAATTATAAATCATTTTATTTACTAAAGTCTTTTAAAATATTGATTATGCTTCACCCCAATTTCCTTTAATATATTAATCAAATCCTTATTTCCAAATCTCATAAAATTACTATTATAAATATATATGAATATTTTTACTTAAGTATATGGTTCTCTAGCAGCTGACAATTCATCATCCTTTTCAAAGAGATCAGTAATATTAATTTAATTATTCATTACTTGTTTCATCTATTAATCTCTCCTAAATCTATTCACAACTCTAAATTTCTTTGATTCTTTTTAAGACATTTAAGAAACATCAAATTTATCTCTTAGAGTATTGATTTTAGATTATAAATTTTTGATAGACATATCCACTGTATGTAATTCTTAAAAATAAATATAAATCATACCTAAAGGAACAATACTACCTTTTACAGTAACAATATCTATCATTCTCATCTATTTTTAACATTCCTCAGTCAAATATTACTTTAGAATACCACTAACGAGAATAAGTGATCCAAATTATTTAGTTGCAGCTTCTAATCTTGATGCCATATTAACATTAGGACTGAGATATGAAGCATCAATTTTAAATCCAGAACCAATAGCTCCTTCAATTCCCCAGCCCATATGTAATCCAAAACCCATTTTAACAGAGTAATCTTTCATTCTAGCATTAAGTCCTTCATGTTTCTTATACTTTTCTAACTTTTTGGAGATAGAGATAGCTGTGATAATCTTGAGAAATGCCATCACAGCCATATCTCCTTTTTATTTGATATATCTGTCTGTTTTTAATTTTAAATTTTTAGGGTTATCTGGATCAGGATGATAATCATTAGGAGAATATTTCCAAACAAGCAAGAAAGCATCACCAATATTTTTATTAGAAGATCCACTCATAGAATCAACAGTTGAATGAACAATCTCAGCAATTTCATTCACAAAAAGCATAACTCCTTATTACAATACTTCGGTGGCCTATATTATAAATTATTTATTTACATCAGTAAAATTTCTAATATCACAAAATCCAAAAATTGCCAATATCTTTTTACCAGGAATCATAGGATCAACACCACCTCCCTTTTTAATATTTTCAGCTATAATCTCAGAACCTGCTTCACCAAAACCAACAGCTAACAAAGCACCAACTTTCATAATTAATCTTTATAGAACATATGTTTCCATATGTTTTTCAATCTCTTTCTATTTTAATTTCTCTACATCCTAAGATTTTTCTAATTCTTCCATAATTAAATCTTCTTATTCTTCTATATTAACAGCTTCAAGTGGATTTGCTGCTATCATTTCTATTTTCTACATCATTGCTTCTATTGGATCTATCACTAAATCAGATACATCTTTATTGAACATCAAAGCAGACACTGCTAAAACAATACAAACAAAGACTGTTTAAAATATTGATAAGATAGCATTAGTTTGATTATAAACAACCATGTCAGCTGCTGCATATGACTACAGATTTGATCCATCAGATTTTACATAATATTGTAAATCTGAAAATCTATACTATTCTTTAGTTGCATATGTAGGAACTTCAAAAATATCAGGATTCGTATTATAATTCCACTCATCAAGATTTGTATTATCATCCCCTTTTAAATTAACATCAACACTATAAATTGGGTAAATTTCTCCTACATGGAACTGAGCGTATTAATACAAAAGAGATTTCATTATATCTGGCTTATCTTTAAATTAATAGATTCTATAAATTCCTGAATCATAACTACTAATTGTTTCTTAATAGGTATCTAAGGAAAGAACAGGAATACTTATTAGAATGGCTAAAATAATAGTAATCACTCTTCGCATAACTAGATCTGATAATTAAGCACCTACAATAGATTCTTTTATTTAGTTTTCTGATTAAGAGGAGATTTAAGAAGATTTTATTTAACTATTAGAGTTTTTATCTGGAGTCTTAGCAGCTTCAATATCATGTTAAGAATTTCTTAATTCATCATTTTAAGGTAAAATTTATTAAATTTATAAATTTGATTATTATTATTATTATTATTATTATTATTATTATTATTAATCTTAACTCTTACTTTAAGCTTATCTTATTAAATCTTAAAGTAATTTTCTTTATTATTCTCTTTCCATTTACTATCGTGCATGCTTGTATAATTTAACCAATCTAACAAGTCTTATTACTCTAATAACTCTTGCTGCCTTTCTTGCTGCTCTAGATGCAGTTCCAATAGATTTAATTTGTGATGCACTTGTTAAATCTCCAGAATACCAGGTATCTGTTATCCAACCTAAATCTAATATCATTGTTAATGTTGATATAACATCTAAAATAAAATAAAACTAAAAATTGACTTTTATATTTACATTCAAAATGTAGTCTGGTTTAGCAATACTTGTAAGTGAAATTTCAATAATAAATGCAACCATGCATATCACAGTTAAAACAAAGAATACATCATCTCCCTACTTATCTACTGATAATATCCTAATATCATCTCCAAATAATGCATAAATAGTGACAATTGCCATTATTATTGAGAATAACGTGTTTTCTGTGATTTTCAATATACTTTTTGAAAATTCTGATTGTTGCTTTTATTGAGAATGTCGACTCTTGACTCTGCTATTCATTCTTTTAATGCGTTTCTATGAGGTTTCTGATTTATTATATCACACATGTACATTAATGAGGAGATTTATTTCCTCCAGAACTTTTAATGGAGACATCATCTTAACTATTATGAACAGAACCATGTAGAGGTTTAAGATTCTTTTTTGTTTATTCAGAACCAGGATCAGCTTTTTTAATTAATGGTTAAGCTTGCTATTTATCAGTTAACTACATATATTAATCTATTTACTAGAGGTACTTAATTTTGCCCATTATTTTCTTAAGTAGGCTTAATTGATCTATCAGATGGTAACTGTAGCTATTATAAATAGTGAAAATACAGGATGAGGTTCAGCAACCATTTGATTAAAGTTTTTCACAACCTAAGCTGGTACAAATACTTCTCCCATCCCTTGTTCATCTTAGCCTTGCTTTTCTTGGTCATTTTTTGAGTTCATATTTTAATAAAATAATTATAGGTTTCATTTTTTATCAAAACTCACTTTTTATTTGTCAAGATGAAAGAACTCAAATGAAAGAAGTTACCTATTGTTAATTAAATGAAAAATATCATTGAACTCAAAAAACTAATCTTAAATCAAAGATTAATGATTTGATTCTCTTTTAAAAATATAGTGTTATTCTTTGAATATTTGAGAGAAATGTTACTTTAATTAAAATAAAAACTTCAAATTAAATTTAATTGTGTTTTTACATTATTTACAATCTAATAAGATTTTGTTCTTATAAATATAGATCTTAATTAGAGTATTAATCATTTTAGAGATTTAGAGTAATCAAAATAAAAATTAATTAATTTATTTATGCATTTTTCATAAATAACCAAATTTATCAAAATTTACTAATGTTACATGAAACTTAACTTTTACATATCCTACAGATTTTACTCTAGTAACTTCTCTTCCTTCACCTGAGGAAATAACTTTATCAAAGTTTTTGAGTTCAGCAGTGTTTCCTAACAAATAACCCAAAAAACCTGTAAATCCAGAAATTGGTAGAGGTTTGAATATTCGAATTATTCTTTCGTGACTAAAAGACTATTCAGAATTCATACTATCCTGGTTAAGTTGGAACATGAACAGATCCATACCCTTTAGCCACACTTCTTCCCATAAAATCTGGACCTGAAAGTCTAACTACAACCTAGGGCCATCCAAAAATGTTTTTAGTTTGAAAATTGCATTCAAAAGGGAAATTCCAAACAATATTTCTAGAGTGTAAATTTCTTGAAGTGCTCAATTATGATATTCCACTTGGTTCTGCATCATCAGCATTATTCTAATTTTATTTTAAATCATACACTAGTTTTCAAATATGCCCAATCATCACCTCCATATTTAACTGCATATTCTATTCTTAATGATTCTTCGTCTTCACACTATATTATAAAATAACCATTTTACTTCCCCACATTCAAGAACTCCACTAAAATTTAAAAACATAGAATCAGGTTAAATATTTCTAGGATCCATCATCTCTTCTTAAATTCTCGAAATTCCATCTTAAAATTATTGAGGTTATGTATATCCAAAGTTTTAATTTGTTTATCCTTTCATAGAGCCTTAATCTGATACATCTTTTTTATAATTTCTTGTATTCATCATTATCAATTTTTTTTTAAATTATTACTAAATGAACTAATAAACTTATAGTAATTCAATAATTTGTTAGAATAATACAATTATTCTTATTTAATTAAAGTAATTAAGTTATCAGTTATATTTTTTAATATAAATCATTAGAGATAGTGTAGGATATGATTTAATTTACAAAACCTCTTATTATAAATATATAAAGTATTAGATATATTTAAGAAACTTGAAAAATACACTATTAATAAATAATATAAATATTATGAAATAAATATCTGAAAGTGCTCATATATTACAAAAGGTTTATAATCCAAAAAAAATGAATAAGTTATTTATGACTACTCATTATTAACTTTAAAATGAAACTGATTTAATATTTGATAAGTTTATGGTGATGCCACTTTTCGGATTATCAGTGGCTAATGGAATATCATCAAATTGCATTAAAGCAAAATATTTATGTAGTGATTACAAAAAACAAGAATTATATGATTGCAATTTAATATTGATTATGTCAGCATATTCAGATTAAGCTGTTTATAGATCTAAAACTATGTATTCAAAAAGAGATGGTTTAGAATAAATTTTCAAATATCTTGCAATTCCAAATTAAACATATAACATTCACATAAGCTTATTAAGTTATTTTGTTCCATAAAGGTATTTTTTTTTAATTATTGAGAGTATTTTATAAACAAGTACTATAAGCCTTAAATATTTTTGAATTATTAGATTAAAAACATATTGAAGAATTGACTAAATCATCATCAATTATTAACTAATTGGTTGATGATGATAATCTAGATTCAATATTATTTAAAAATTAAGAATTTATAGACTATTAAAAATGGAGAAAATTGTTAAAAAATAATGCAATAATTAATTTAAAAACTCTTCATTAACATAAATTGTCTTAATAAATATTTTGTTAATATTTTTTTAAATATCATTATTATTAAGGATGTGAAGATGAAATAATTAAATTAAATAAATTTCTTGTTGATGATTTTGATATGTTTAAGGTAATATATTAATATATTATTTAGTTTCGTTTTAGATTAGAGCATAATGAAAAGAAGATGAAATTTTATTTTTTAAGAATGTTGTCTTATTTTAAATTAAATGAGAAATTAGAAAAGTTTTTAAAATTCTCATTCAAATCATATTCTTTAGATTGGAATAAAGAACTACTTAGAGAATTGAAATGTACCATATATTAATATAAAAAATAATGATTGAATGTTTCATATAATATATAATTAAGTTTGATAGAAATATAATACATATTAAAATAATCAGGAAAATGTTTATATCAATGATACAATTAATTTTTGAAATAGAAAGCTTCAATATTATTGAAGTGTAAATTTGCATCATCATTAGCTAATAAGTCTAAATCATTAAATGATTCAAACTCTTATTTTACTTACTCAATAGTTTTCATCCTTTCATGTAAATGTTTACTAGTTTCTTTGCAAAATGTTTATTATTATTTTTATACTACTGTTTGACTTTTCCTTTGAACTCTTGGTAATTATTATTCCATAAATCTTCTATATTTATCAACTTCAACTATATTTTTTTGACTTACTTGATAATTTATCATTTTTGAGGTACCTAATGTATGCATACTAACTCCCTAATTTTTATTATTTTATTATTTTACATTCCTACTTCTATTTTCTGGTTCATGTAAAACTAATTGAGTAGATAATTATTTTTTAGGATTTTCTACTATAGCCGATGATCTTTTAATAGTACTTCGAATGACAGGTGGATTTGTTATTTTGTTTTAATGTAATTATTTTTTGTTTTTCACTTCTGCTAATTTTTCCCAATCAAACATATAAAATGATTCCTCACTCTCTTTATCATTAATTGCTTTTCTAAATTAATCTTTTAGAAATGCATAATTAGGTGATTCTGAAAATTCCCTCGATTTAGCATGTTATAATAATAACAAATAGCACTAAATAATGTTTCAGATTACCTAAGGAAGTCCTTCAGTTAATAACTCTAATTTTACATTTTTCTTCATTTCATATATAGCTTTATATTTTTCATGTTTATCAGCAATTTAAAGATTCATCCATGGAAGTTTTCCCAAGTTTAAATAAATTAAAACATAGGCTAAACTCTCTAAATCATCTTTTCTAGATTATTCAAATCCTTAATGAGCTGCTATACTTGCATATCTAGCAGTTCCAATAATTCCTTTTTTATCAGATAAAGGTATATGTTATCCATTACTTTCTTTAAAATATTTAGCTAATCCAAAATCAATTAGATAGATAATATGTGTATCAATATATCCAATCACCATATTTTCAGGTTTTAAATCTCTATGAATAATATTTTTGTTATGTAATGATTCTAATCTCTCAATTAATTAGATTGATAATTTTAGACAAGACAATTATGAAAACCCTTTGCTTCTTCTTAGTAGATATTCTAAATTATGACCCAAATATGTAATCATGCAATAATTATAATTTTCATCTCTTCCATAATATTGAATCTATGGAAAACCTTTTTTAATTATATTATTTTATAATACCTTCCAATCCACCTAATTCTAATAATACTTTGATTTCTCTAACTAACATGCTTGTTGTACCATTACTTTTATTTTCTCTCTTCTCAAATTTTGTAGCTACAATTTCTTTCGTTTCACAATTCTCTGTTTTAAAAATATATCCAAAGCTGCCTTATCCAACTTTCTCCAATAATATAAACTTATCAGCTATAATAGTTCCTGAATGAAGATGTGTATGACCATTAGTTTATAAGTGTGTTTGATGTTTTTTAGTATTCCTATTCATCATAAGCCAATTTTAATAAATTATTTCTTGTAAATTTATTCTGATATAATCAAACTTACCCAAAAATATCTTGTTCAAAATATCAATACACTGTGCTTTGATAAATAAAATAATAAATAATATATAGTATAATTTTTATAATTTGTCTTCCTAAAACATTAATCAAAAGATTTCAGTAAAGATTCATTGTTTTATATTTCATTTCCACTTTGATATTTTATATTAGTGAATATAATTTTTTTTTTATATATAACCATTTATTTTCTAATTTTATTTCAAATTTAACTAAATAGTTTGTATCTATAATTTAATTAAATGATTTAACTTAAATTTTATATTTGTTAATATTTAGTAAAAGTTAATTCCAACTGATACTACTAGATTAAACATACATTGTTCTGTAATAAGAAATTAAGATATAAGACAGAATAGCAAAAGGTCTAATTTTATGAATGATAAATAGTTAAGCTTGAAAACTTTTTATTAATTGAAAATTAAAGAGAAGGAATTAATTTGAATTATCAAACAATTTTATTTATCTTTTAGTTTAGATTAAAATTAAATTAATTTATTTATCATCGCAGAATATTAAGCTCATTCTCAGCATTTAAATACTTAAATAAGGTTTCGATTAATTCTTACCCTGAAAATTAATAATCAAAGATCACTTAAATAACAATTTTAAATAAATTTCATAAACTTAATTACACTCATCAATGAAATAATAATGCAATATTAATAAGATGTATTAATAAAATTTCAAAGTAGATTCTTAAGTATAATCAATAAAATAATGAATTATTTATGTCTTTTATTATGTTAAAAAACCATGATTTTTATTATGATTTACATTTTGTAATTATTCAATATTTAATAAATTTGGTAATTTTAATGATAAAAATAATAATTATTATTTTATAAAAATACCAGAACAAAATAGAAGTTTGAATTTCAATTATCTATCTCTATGTTATTTAAATTTAGATGATAGATTTTTCATGGACTTTTCAAATTTGTAGGACTTTGAAATAATACATTAATCTATACTCTGTTACTTAGAGAAATTATTAAACTACAATTTAATAATATTATAAAGAATTTTTTAGAATTTATTTATGAACTTTGAATTAATTTATGTATTTTATTTGAGAAATATTTTATTTTATATAATTTAAATTATGATAATAAGTATCATAATATATATTTTAAATTATGTCTTAAAAGATTGTAATGATTTTAAATTCAGATTGTATTATTTATTAATCAGTAATTTTAATACAATACTCTAAAATGATTTATCTAAACATTGTTATTTTGATTGGTTTAGTTTTGCTAACAAAACAAGCAATAAAAGAGACTCCTTTAGAAAAAAATGCAATTTTTGAGAAGTGTCTCTAATACGAAAACGGAAATTGTAAATTATGTGAAACTTAGACATTTTTGTTCAAATTACCTCAAGATAATTCTGAATTGGGTTTGAAATAAGGCACAAAAATATGTGTATAATGGTAAATTTAGTACTAATTATTTAATAGTCCATACAATGGGTTCCATGATAAAAGTAATTTATATTGCGGTGATTGTCTTGACAATAGTTAAACTTGGGATTAGACTAGATTATGCACTTATGACTATAAGGCGAAGACAATGTCTGAAGGATCTGTATTCCACAAAGTGAATAGAAGTGCAAAATAGTTGTTTTATATAATTGAATCTGGTACTAAAGAAGTATTTAAAAATTTCATATTAAGTACTCTACTACAATGTGTGAGGGTTGTGCTAACTTTTGTAAATCTAAGAGCTAAACATGTTTCCCTGTATCGTTACAATATTAGTATGATTTGAACAATCTATTTATTGCGTGTGCAGATGGTATTTCAAAATTTAAAATTAAGGATTCGCATATAATGAAGTAACAAGTGGATGTGATTCTTGTCCTGAAAATTGTTAGTCTTGTGAAATCAATATATAAAGATAAATTGATAGTGATGGGAAAGTCACAATTAATACAAAAAAGGATTGTTTAATTTGTAATAAAGGATTTAGTTTGATGACCACAAGACTAATTCTAAATAGTCCTTAAACATAAAGTTAATGTATTCCATGTTTTCCTGGATGCAATGAATGCTTCTTTGGAAATGATAAAGTCAATTTAAATACTGAACCATGGGATGATTACAATAATCATTTGGATTTAATTTTACCACCTAATAGTTAACCAACCAGCAATGCTTATATTAAATTAGCATCTTTTGGAATATTATAAAGATGTACAGAATGTGTTAGTACATAATAAAATACTTATGTACCTTCATTGGATAAATTAATGTGTGTTAGATGTGGAACTTCTTGTAAGAATTGTGAATATGTTTCATATACATTATCTGAAAATAAATAGTAAGCTTTAATATAATATATATTATAGTCCTACTAGAAACAAAAATACAGTTATTGAGATTACTGACACAACAAAATCTTAATATGTATTGAGATGTAGAGAATGTGAAAGTTATTTTTAAACATTCTCAGCAACAGGAACTGGTTGTGTAGATTGTACAGTTCCCAATTGTAAACTTTGTCATATGGTTGGTGATCCTTAAGCTGGAGCAGATAGTTCCTTTTCTACTTTAAATCCAGATTTTTAACCATTAGAAAAGGAAGAATTTGCAAGTGAAAAATGTTTATTATGTAATGATTACTTTTATTTGGATTCTGATGGCAAGTGTAAATCTTACACACCTACTCTAACTGATATTCCACTTGCATGTTTGACATTTTAAAAGGATTCAAATGCTAAATTTTAATGTAGAATTTGTGATGTTAAATACACTTTATAATTATCAGAAGTAACAGGTTAATGGGAATGTGAACGAACATGTTAAGAAAAAGTATAAGATTATCTTTGTTAATCTTGTTTATTCATTAATGATAGTTACAGATGTTTATATTGTTTAGATGGTTTTTATGTTGATATTGTAAGTGGTAAATGTCTTCCTTGTTCAGCCAATGGATTTTGTAAAGAATGTTACAGATTTTCACTTCTTAGTATTCACAGAACTGAATATTATTTATATACAGATGATGGTGATTCAAATGTTTATGGTCCTTATTGTTATACTTGTACAGCAGGTGATAATGAGAGAGGTCCTTTTTTGAATGATGAACTTAGATATTGTGAAAAGGGAGGAGAAGCATGTTCAAATTTTTCTGCTAAAGGAAGTCAAGGATATTGTGATTAATGTGATTATACTAAATTGTCTAGTTCAATAGCAAGATCAGCTTCATTAGATGATTCAGATTGTATTGAATGTCCTTAATTTACTGTTGGTTGTAGAATTAGAACAGTTGATGAGATTGCATTAGTTAATAAGTTTTTCAATCCTACAAATTAAAAGTATGAAGAATATTCAAGATTGGCATTTATTTGTGATTCTAGTTCATCATATTATTTAGATAATAATTTAGGTAGATGTATTGAAAAATTCGAGGGAATAAAAGAATGTGTACGTTCTGATGTAATTGAAATAGAAGCAGATTGCACTCATTATGAAGATGATGTAGATGATAAATGGAAGATTAATTCTTAATTTGGAGATATTACTTAAAAAAATACAATATTTAATTTAGAAGATAAAATAGATATTCTATAAAGAAATTAATTATATATTGATTACAATGAAAAAGTTGTTAGTAAATTAACAATTCATTTAAAATTTAATTATGATGTTGATACTAAAAATAATAAATGTTATTTCTAAAAAAATACATATTTCACTACTAATTTTAGAAGAAATGTATTTACTTTATAAGAGATTGAACTTCATATATCAGTTATTGGGGCTCCAGAAACAGAAAAGATATAATGGTATGTTTAAAATACTATTTATTTTGAATATTTTACAACTGTTAAATTGAGTTAGATTGAAATTCTACCTGCTACTGATTTAGATCCATTAAATATGTATTCTAATGTAATGAAATATGAAAAACCATTTGGATTTGAATTTCTCAAAAATGATGGTTCTAAATTAATTTTAGAAAATGTTAAAATTGGAAATGGATTAGCATAAGATCATTATCAATCTTTGTAATATACTACTTCTTATAGTGATATATCACATAGCCTTAAAAAATATAAACCTTTTTATACTATCCTTCTTAATACATATGATATATAATTCTATAATGTATTAATTACATCATAAAATTATTTATTAGGAAATGATGTTGCTTTCTAAGCTTAACCTTTTGGACTCACTTATAATGAAGATGTTAAATTACCATATTTTAATATTAAATTAGAGAATGTAAAATTCTAAGATTTTTCTGTTGAAAGTTAAGCAATATTTGAATTATAAGATATAACTCTCATAACTCAACCAGAATGGAATAGTAAAATCTATCTAAAAAATGTAATCTTCAATGATGTTTATTTTATAAATGATGGTGCATTCCTTAGTACATAAGTCTAAAAAACTTCTACAGGTATGATTTTAATAGAAAATCTAAATTTCAATAATGCTGAATACAATAATTCAAGAGGTATTGTTAATTTTTAAACTATGTAAAAAATATCTATATCTGGTTTTGAAATGACAAATAGCAGAGTTAATTATACATCTCTATTTTATATCACAACCATTGATATTAATAGAGTTTATGTTTACAATACTACTTTTACATATTTTGGTAAAATATTTGAAACTTAATTTGACATCATAACTATAAGAGCTAATGATCCTGAATTCTCTGGTCTCAAACTTAAATTTTAAGATATGGAATTTGTTGAAATTAATTGTTTATATCCTGCTTGTATTATGTTATTATAAACAATAAAAAATGATTATGAATTACCACTAAATATTAGTATGAAAAACATTAATGTTTAAAAAATAAAAACTTATGGGTTTAATGAAACTATTGTAGAAGCTGCAACTAGTGCTGCTATTCAAGTTTAAAAGTCACATACATTATTAGTTGAGAATTTCAATAGTATTCAGAATCCTAATCTAACTATTTTTTATACAGATTAAATTTAAGAAATTACATTTATTGATTTAATATGTTCACAGAATGAAGGATTGACTATACGTAATAACTATTGTTTATTCTTAAATAATTTCTATAGAATAGTAAGGTTAATTAATATAGATCTTTTAAATTTGAATGGAATTGACAACTCTTTTATAGGAATATCATCTTGGAGTAATCTTGTTTATAACACTAGTAGTGATACATTTCATGAACAAATTACTATTGAAAATGTATTTGTAAAATAATGTACTTTAACAACAACTGTTTTAGCTGTTCCATCTAGTGCTATTTTAATAGATTCAACCTAAGAATAATATTTATTAATATCAAACCTTTATTTTGAAAAGAATAGACATTATTCTGCATCTTACTTGAAAGGAACTCTAAGACCTAGTAATCCTACATTTTTAATCAGAAGTGTAGTTGGTACATTACAATTATAGAATTCTTTTTGGAAAAATAATTATGTAAGTGGATTTGGAGCAGTATTATATTTAGAGTGTGGAATTCAAAATGTCAATAATATCACAATGATTAATAGTAATTATGATCCTGCTATATTGGATAATGAAGATCCATTTACATATGATATTAATCAAGTAGCTGAAGGTGGACATATTTTTATAGCTGGATATAACATTCAATTGTTAAATTCAATATTTACTAATTCTACTGCCAAAGTTGGAGGTGCTATCTATTTGAAAGCATTAAAGGAAGGATAAGGATATATAAATAATACTATCATTAAGAATGGTTTCACTCCTATGAATGGGGCAGTAGTATCTAGAGGTGGTTGTATATATATCGATTCAACATATTCATCATTGAATTTATTATTGGATAATATGGAATTAAGTAATTGTATTGCTAGAGCAGATGGTGGAGGAATTTATTTAACTGCTTCAGATAGACAATAATTATTCACATTCTAAAATTCTATAATTTCTAATTGTTATGGATTGAGTGGTACTTCAATTAAAGTCAAATTTGATGATAGAACTTAGTAAATTTAAAAGACCAAATTATAAGATATCAAAATATCTGGTAATTATACAAATGCTCTTGATTTCTTTAGCAATTTAAGTAATTTTCAAATAATAGAAGAGTTTCTATTTATAAAACGATTAGCTGCATTTGAATAAGATAATGGTTAATTTGACCTTTAAAATCTTTATAGTGAAGGTTTATATTTTTATGGTTTGATATCACTTGTCAATCCTAATCTAGTTAGAATAAATACAATAGAATCATAACATGGAGTATTATCATATAGACCATATATAGAAATACTTGAACCATTAGTGAATCCTGTAGTAATAGATTCAATTCAATTTCGTAATATTTCATCAATGAATGTTAGTGTAAGTTGTAATGATATTAAACTCACAAATGAATAGAATGCTTATTGTAAGATTTTATAATCTCGTGTTGATTTTCCAGAATATGTTATAAATCCAGCAATGATGTTGGTAGATTAAATAACAAAAAATACACCATTATTATTAAAGAATTTATTTATAAATAGAGTTAAATGTTAAGAATGTTATGGAGGATTAGTATAGGTGATGAGAGTATCTAATAGTGATCTTAGATCCTTAGTTTAAATGAGTGTGTGTAGATGTTCAAATACATAAGCTGGATATTATGGATGTTATATGATATCATCAGCATAATATTAAACAATTTTAACAAATGAAGACAATAGAATTAATATTAATTTTAAATCTGCCCTTAGTTTAGATAATATTTTAAAGTAAACTGGTTTGAAAAGTAGAAGAAGGAGATTATTATAAGATGAAATATTGCCTAAAGATTTTGATTATCCTGTACCATCTCCATCATATTTGGCTCATGTTGTAGTGGATTCAATGAATATTTAAGATATTAAGGCAGTTCATGGAGGTGGTCTCTCAGTTTATGGATTAACAGTCAATATCACAAATACTTATTGTACTTAAGCTATAGTAAGTGGATAAGGTGGTTGCATTTATTATGAAGCTTTAGCTAAAAAGGATAGAGTTGTCTATCAAAGGATGAATATAGCTAAGAGTGTATTTTTTAGGAATAATGCAAGTATAGGTGGAGCTATTAGAGTGAAAGAGAGTGGAATAAATTTGTGGAACAAGACAGGAAATACTATGTTATAGAATTATGCTTTGTTGTATGGAAATGATGTAGCTGGATATCCTACACATTTAGGAATACTTATTAATGGAGAATTGCAACATTCTAGTAATCTCAATAATAATACAGGATGGTTACATTATCCTCTTGTAATCAAGAGTGGTTAATTAATGTAAGACTTTGAAAATCAAACAGTTTTATTAGTTTATTTAGATTAGAATGATGAAATTATGAAATATTAATTTGAAGCTTAAGCTATTATGTAGTCTAATATTAGTAATTCTATATAAGGAGAGCCTCTCAGAATTTTTAATTTAGATCAATAAGGATTTGTATATTCCAACCTTCAAATTTTATTTGATCCTTATTAAAATGTTACATTAGACATTATTTTGAACAGCTCTTTAGTTAATATTCCTCATTATTATACTGAATATCCATATTAATTAATGGGATTTGATACTGGATATACACTATAAGCTAGAGTAAGATCTGTTGAATGTGATCGTGGAGAAGCTTATAATCCATAATAAGGTTCTTGTAATCCTTGTCCTATTGGTTAATATGTATTGGTTTACAAAGGAATTTGTAAATAAATAGATGAAGGATCCATGAATTATACAGTTAGAAATAAGATTAGTTTAAAATATAATTATTGGAGACCTGATCATTTAAATGATCAAGCTGAGAGATGCAAAAATAAAGTAATAAATTGTATTGGAGGATATAATGTTGGAAATGATGTATGTATAGAAGGAACAATAGGAGCATTATGTGAAGAATGTGATATTCATGGAACTTTTTGGGGTAATAAATATAGTAATTCTGCAAAATATGAATGTGGTGCTTGTTAAGATAATACTAGAAATATCATTATGATATTATTTTTATCAATTTTCACTTTATATTCTACAGTTACAACAGTAGATGCAAATAAAGAAAAAATGAGAAGTATTATTCTTTATGACATTTTCAAAAAGTTAGGATGGGCTTCATCTTAAAATGCAGGAGCCAATGCTGCTGTTCTTATAAAGATATTTAATAATCATACTTAAATTTTATCTATTCTAAGTGGATTTCAAATTGAGATACCAACTGGTGCTGTAGATTCAGTAAATACTGTAAGTATGCCAGCAAAGACAGTAGGAAATGCTTTAGATTGTTTTTTAGCTGATGATACATGGGGTATTGATTTAATTTACTTTCGTATAATTTGGTCATTTATTATGTAAGGTTTTTACATAGTAGCAATACTTGTTATTATGTTTATAAGATATGGGGCAGAATTTAAAATTCAATAGGTATAAACTATGGCTATTTATTTGTTTTTACTTTTGCAACCCAATTATGTAATGGAATTTATGACTTTGATTTCTAGTCGAGAAATATCTGGTAATATGTATATAATGGCAAATGTTTCATATCGATATGATACTTTTAAACATGATTAATGGATTGCAGCCTTTGGTGTTCCTGGATTATTAGTTTGGTTGCTCATATTACCAGTTACATTTTGGTATATTTGTTATTAAGGTGCACAATAAATGAAATTGAATTCTATTATTTTTCGTTCATCATGGGGTTTCTTTTATTATGAATACAGTAGAAATAGATATTATTGGGAATTCTTGAAGATATTCTATCGTTCTTTAATAAGTGTCTTGATTTGTTATTTCTAAGAGGAAATCATTGTAAAAGTATATTTTATTATAATATTTTAATAGGGAATTCTATCTTTTATTGTAATTTATGCCTATTATGGATTGAGTATTCATTTCAATCCTTATGATCTAAAAAAATTAAATTTATTAGATCAACTCTCTGCAGTAGTCTTGTCTCTCTCCTTAGTTGTAGGTGTCTTCCTATATAGAACTATATAAATCAATTTCTTTGGTTTAACTTATGCTGGATATGTAGTAATTGCCATATTGAATGCATTCTTCTTATTACTCCTCTTTTACAATCTTTTTGAGGAAAAGTTTTAGGAATTTGCTCTGTCTTTAGATTAAGTTAGAGATAAAATAAAAGAGAAATATCCTCATCTTTAGCACAATCAACATCTTGGACCTCTTCTTTAAAACCGTACAAAATTGAATCAAAAGGCCAGAGTAATGTGGAATCAATTAAGTAAAATTGTAAACAGAAGTATAGTAAATTGGAGATAAGATAAGTCAAAACCTTTAGTATTTTCTGTTTAGTAATATATGAATATATATTTTTAGTGTTGATACTCCTGCCAGTGAATACAATAATTAAATCAATTAAATTCATTAAGAATTTGATTCTTAATATGAGCCTCAAGAATTAGTTTAATCTAAAGTGATCGCTTAAAATTCTTAAGATAAATCAAAGGATGAAGTCAAAAGTGGAAAATAGCAAATTTGAGCGTATTTAAAGTCTTTATATTAATCTAAAAATTTAAATAACATCTAATTTCATTAATTATTTATATCTTAGAAATATATAAAGAATTATATAAATATATATTTCAAAATTAATTAATACATTAATTGAAAATATAATCATAATACTTAAAACAATTCTGGCAAGAATATACCATTAGAGTTTATTATTAAATTCACATCATCTACAATATCTGATAATTTTCCTTAATCAATAAAATCAGCTACTAAAAAATTAGGCATTTTTATGCAATTAAAAAAATATTATAAGAATCTCTATCTTACATGATTATAAGAATTGTATTTATCTCTGTATGTAGAATCGAGTCTATTTTAATTAAATATTAATATACTTTAATGAATTTTATGGACAAAAATGAATTTCTAAAAAAGGAGATAATATTTCACCAGTTTATTAATTGACTTTACCTCTTGCTACATTACCATTATCTACATCCTTTAAAGGATCTGCTTCCCAATCTACTTATGCACTTAAAAAATATGAATAATATGTATATTTTAATAATTCTCCTACTATTTATTCTTTTGGTTCTATTGTTATTAATAAAGTCTGATTATTTTTTCTACACCAACCTAAAGTTGGAATTTCAGAGTCTTTTTAAATCCTAATAGCTCTTTGATCTGCTTTAATATCAACTAATAAACTATGTAATATAATGCTTGTTAATTAGGGATCAAAATTTTCTGTTCCATTTTTTTAACTATTGCATAATAGTTTACTTTCAATCTTTAAAATAATAATTTCATTAGGATTTTGAAAAGAGAGATCTACAATTTCTTTTAATCTCAAATGAGCTGATTCTGGTTTCTTTAAGGCTCTCTACATTAATGTTAATTGACAATTAGATTTTCCATCTGATTCATGAGCAATTACTATCTTAAAATTATTTATTTATATACTTCAGGATCATTATTATTTGAGTACCAATGTAAAGGTACTTTAAAGTGTCTAGCACCATATTTTTCAAATTGCTCAGTAATTGTGACATTTTATTATGCATATATCCATCCATAACTTTTAGACATTGCACAATTATGAGCACCTAAATAAACAATTTAATTTAATTAAAGATCATCATTAAGATGTCCATTACTCCCAGGCATTGACTTTTACATTTATTATTATTTTATTACAATTACTTAGAATTATTTCAATAACTTTGAATTGTCTTTAAATTATGTAATATAATTAGTTTAAGACTTTTAATACTTTCTAATTATTTAATTAGTTAATTGATTGTATGAATTTTTTGAATTTTATGCATTATTTAGAGATATTGTTGTGTATTAATTATTTTATTTAAATGCCAAAAGAAACCAAAGGATAGTAAAAAGGTGGAAGATCTAAATATGAAACAACAGAACAAACAGAGACATATAGATAATAGGATGCTGTAAATATAGAAACTTATATATGATAGAAAGAAAAGAAAATTCTGGGACCTAAAACAAAATTAGATTTAGAAAAATTAGAACCTTACTTCACATAAAATAATAACTATGTTGGAATGTTTAAAAAGGATGCAGGAAAGACAGATAATAGTTCAGCTGTAGCATATTCTGTAACATTTAATCGTAACTGTTAGCATCCATTAGATAGATTGGGTATTGTAGAGAATGAATACTGTTAAAAATGCAAGAAGGATAAGGGATTCTGTCCACATAAGAAGGACACTCATAATACAGTTAAGGATCAATTCCAATTCCCAATAATTAGGTAAATTCATTTTATAATTTTATAAAGCTCAGCAGAAATTGGATGGAGAGAACCAATTGACAATGTGAATTGGGGATATGGTGTTAAATAGTCTTTCCCAAATTTCAATGCAGATTTTAGAAACACTTCTAAAAAGGAGGAAAAAGAAAAGAAATGATTTTTTAGGTCTAACCATTTTTAAATAAAATATACATATTTTTATTATATACTTATTTTATTATCTCAAAAAGATATTTTAATTTCATTTATAATTATATTATCTTCTTCAAAAAGATAATCAAGATAATCAAATGCAATAATTACAAAAAGAGGAAAATAATGGAAAGAAAACAGAGCCATCTTAAATCTTTTAATCTCTGTTATTTCTTATTGCCACATCTATAATAGAATCAAATTATATTGATCAGGAATGTAATTAGAACTTATCCTCGTTTATACATTTAGTATTCTATGGATTTATATGTTTTACAATAACAATTTTAACCAGCGCCATACCTAGGTTAATTATTTTATTTATTTTTTGAATAGGTCTGAAAATAAAATGATAGACATTATATTTTCGATCTTGATTCTTTGTTTTTATATTTACTAATTTAGTTTGTGGATTTATGCACTTACGTTGTATTCATCAGAAAATGATTGTTAAAATAAAGCTCCTGTGCTTTATTTCTTTTTGGAAATGTATGTAGTGGTATGACATAATTATAAATTAGTATTATGCAGCAGTTTTAGGAATTATTATTTTTGCTATTATTTTCTTTTCTGTTAAGGCATTGTTAGAAAATTGCTTTAAATCAAAGAAAAATATATACTTAGAAACATGAAATTATTTTAAAAAGATATTAGTAATTATTATTATCTATTAAATCTATATGAAATTATAAAAAATTCTCCATCTTATTACTAAAAAATTATGTTGTTTCTTTCTCTCTCACCATTATTACTTTAAGATAAATCTCAAGTATTGATTAATTAATTAAAATTAAGAAATTAATTTATCAATTCTATCACTTAAATATATATAGATTTTTAAATTAAATTAAAATTCACAAATTTATGATTAATACCTCACTTAATTATTTAATATCTCTTCAACTCATTTATATGTGTATTTTTTATATTATTTTTAAATCTAAGCATCTCTTTAATGCGTTGATTAAGGATTTCTTAAAAAACAGATTTTCCTGATGGAGAACAATTAAAGCAGTCAAGAACTTGTAATCTGAGAATTTAATAAATTGATTAAACTCATAAGTAGTCATTCCATATTTTAATGGTAGATTTTGTCTAGCCTTTGGTACTATCTTTAGTTTTTCTAGTAACCTGTAAAGTTTTCAAATCATAGTTAGAATTGGATTCTTTTTCATTTGATTGTTGATTTCTCCTCCAAATTATTAAAGAAATGAACTAAAATCATATTGAGTAGCTTTTCATTTATACTTAGACTCTAAAATTAGAGTATATTCTCAATGAATATAGTAAATTTTTGAATGAAATTTTGAATTACTAAGTTGTTCTTTATATCTAATTCTGAATTTGATTTAGAGGGAATATCTTTATTAATCAAAATAAGAAGATTTTATAATTAAAAATTTGTTAGATCAAATAATACTATAATATTTTGAACTATTTATATTTTCTTCTAAACTTATATTATTCCTATTTACATTAATGATGATTTAATAGCAAATACAATTTAAATAATATTCTTTCAGTTTTATACTAACTAATAAACATATTATATATTCTGAATATTTTTATAAGTCTAGCATAAATAATTTATAGTTAATTACTCAAAAACAATTAATTAGCTCTTTATTTATATTATAGAGAAAATAACATAAAATTATTGAAGTTATATTGAGAGAATATTTAGATAGATGATAAATAAAAATTTTGATAAATAATAATAATATATGTCTACTTCTTTTTTTTTATTGATATAAAGTTCTTATGTAATATTTATATTTATTATCAAGACCTTATCTATTATGTCATATTTTTATTAATTAGAAATAATGATTATATTAAAATATTGAATAAATTTTAGTGTTAACTGTATTTAAAATTTAATAAAATTATTTTTTAGAAATGAATGTTCCAATTGAGTATTCAGAATAAAGAGCTAAAACAGAAGCCAATTCTTATGGGTTCTCCTAATCAATTGAAAATTTAGATACTAATAGTTTAAAAGAGGACCTTAATAAAAGTATTGAATTGGGACGAAAAAAAAGAAAACAGTTGACTTTATAAAATCCTGAATTTCAGATCAAATAAGAGATTGAGGATGAAAAATAGAATATAAAAGTACAAACCCTTATTAGGAGAGGAGTAGCAGATTCTCTAAAGATATCAGATTTATGTATGATGATAGTATTGATTAATTAGTAAAGTTAAAAATTTCAGCTAAAGACAATAATAATCCAATACACAGTTTATTTAGATGGTGCATGCTAATATTTTATAAGGAGAATCCTGAGATGTATAGTTGGTAAGAGTTTAAAGTAAGAGTTTATATGAATTTAGAAATAAGTTATTGAAAAGAATAATGGGTTAGATCTTCGTAATCGTTTGGGGTATCAAAGTGTTATTCATATAACATCACTTGAAGGAGAGAAAACTAAATACTTGTTAAATTTAAAAAAGACTATTTTAGAATAAAATAGTAAACCAGAAGAACTTCATCATGTATTAGTGAAAATATTTGACATTATTGAGATAATCTATAAAACACATGAGCATGCAAAAAGAATTAATCATCTTGTTAATGATTTATTGATGGTATTAGATATTATTAATATTATCAATAGTAAGAGTAAAAAATAAAGTAATACAAAGATGAAATTGATAAGGTGAATTAAGAAATTCAAATAGCAAAGTCTAATTTAAAAAATTTGGAAAGCAAGTCTTTGAATGATGAGATCATTCAAGAATGATAATATAATTAAAATTGTAATAATTGTTATTAAAATTATAAACAAACATATAGAGTATTCAAATATTATAATCAAATAAAGAAATATATTTACTTTAATATATATTTGATAATAATAAAAATCAATTTAACAGATATTATTTATGATATACTATTTATTTAATAGAAGAGATTTAATATATATATATATAAGGAACAAACTTAATATTTGTAATCAGTTTGTAAATGTATTTTGTATGTTGAATAATAAAATATATATTATAATCCTTAAAACGGATACTCATTAATTAATTTTAGATGAAATAGGTTGTCGTATTAGCATTAATGCTAAGCTTGGCTTTGAGTACAAGCATTACATCTCCTTAACTATTGGTAGAATTGTAGGCAAGAACAGAAAATGTGATAGATGATGGTGTTGATCTATTAGAACAACTTCTTGCCACAACAGAATAATAATATGAATAAGTCATTCAAGAAAATGAAACAGAATAACAACAATTAAAAGATTAAGTTGCTTCAAAAGAGTAATAACTTTATGATCTTTAAAACACTTGTATGATGATGTCTGATGACTTGGCATTGCTTAAATAATAAATTGAATTACATGGAGATGACACAGCATACTTTAGAAATGAAATTACAAAAGACAATCGTAGAATTGAAGTACTTGAAGAACTTCGTTGCTAATAAAGCAAGAATTGGTTGAATTTCATAAAATCAAGCAAATACATTCTTAATTTAATTGAATTTTTAAGAAGAGCCATTTAGAATTATGGTTCATTTGCTGAGATTTAAAACTTCTCAGTAATGTTAGAAACACTAAGTAGAGAAGTAGATGATAATGAATTATTGAATTCACTTTAAGCAGTTAGTAAATCAAGAGCAATTACACCAGTTAGATAAGAATTACTTTAATTACTTGATTAGATTGAAGAATCAATTAAAGCTAAAATCAATACAAGTTAAACTGATGAAGTAAATAATAAATTTTATTTAGATTCTTTCAACATCAAGAATTGCTGATTATTTACATTAACTTAAATAAGAAATTGCATGGTATGAAAATGAAGTTTCTAAACTTAATGAAGCTTGGGGAGATTCACCAGAAGAAACAGTTAAATAAAGATAAAAAGAATTAGATGCATGTGAAAGTGGAATTAATGCTAAAATTGAAGAAGCTAAAGAATTTAGAAATCATGTTAGTGAATAAATTATTCATAATGAATCAAGATAAGCTCGTTTCTTAGAATAAAAAGATTTAGTAGCTTAATTGATTGTTGAATATTAAAATGCTTTCAATAAAATTGGAGAAACATATAAAATTAGAATTGATGATTTTGTTGAAGATGGAGTTTTTGATAAGACAGTTGATTTTGATAAAAGGTATTTATTAAATCTAATTAGATCATTAACTGATTTATATGGTGATAAAGAGGATAATTTCTAATAATATGTAGATGATTTAGTGAATGGAGTTGCTACTCCTGTTGAAGTACCAGTAGTTGAAGAAGAACCTGAGTCAGGTGATTTTGAAACCGGAAGTGAATCAGAAAGTGAAGAAGCCGAATCTACTGAAGAAGTAGTTGAGACTGTTAATGAAGAAACAGTAGAAAATGTTACTGAAGATGTAGTTGAGACAACAACCGAAGAAACAGTTGAGACTACAACTCAATCAGAAGTTGAAACTACAAGTGAAGAAACCAATTATTTTGAATAAGGCGAAGTTCAACAATCTGTTTGATTCTATTAAAATAAATAAATATTTATGTCAAGACACTAAGGTGTTTATAATATGATTAAGCATGGAGCTTATAATGATGATGATTATGAAGATGAAGATGATTATAACTAATAGGAAGATGATGAATAATATGGGGATCACAATTTCACAAGAAGTAATCTTAAATTTACAATATTTTAAAGGTGAATTGGAAGTCATTAACAATTTGAGTGATATATTCCAACTTGATTTTACTCGTAAATAGATTATTGATGCATTATATGAGACTGATGGAGATAGTGATGCTGCATTTGAATATTTAAGTAATAAGATTAAAAAAACACAAAAATAATAATAGCCTCAGAAACCTTAAGCTACTAAAAAATAATAATAGCTAATACAAGCAGTAAAGAAGGAAGAGTAACCATAACAATTGCCTTAATTAATTAAATAGTCTAATAGTATTGACAAATCTAAAAATCAATTTCATATTGAATACAAGGTTGATGAATATAAT